CACTCTTCTTTAGAAGAATTGAGTGATATCTTATTTTGTCCCTTAGTGAGAGAGGAAAGTAGAGTACCTCAGTTTGATGTTTGAGTGAAAAGTTTGGAAATATAAGATTCTAATTGGAAATCCTTTTGGTTGCTTATACTCAGTGATATTACTTTTATTGCTCTCTTTATCTCCTTCATCTCGGGTTCCTTGTGTGATATTATGTTTTAAGTTATTATATTGCTCTTAACCAGCACTTTGCTTGAGGACAAGCAAACAGATAAGTATGGGGGAGTTGATAAGTATGTAATTAGGCCCTCTTTTACAGCCCATATATTCATATTTGACCTTTATTTTATTTGGGTTTTACACTAATTTATATATTAATTGTGCAGTTTGGTATAAAGAGGCTGCAAGTGAATTTTGGGTGCATTCTGGACTCAAATTAATGGAAGATTAGAGTTTCGCAGCAGTCAGCATGCCCAGACCCATTCAATAAGCACGGGAGTGCATCGAGCCCATGCAAGGTCGTGCTTAAGGCCTTGCACGGCCGTGCTCATTTGCAGGAAGCCCATTTATGAAGAGTTTGTAGGGTTTTCAAATCTTATAAAAGGGAAGATCTCAGGCATCGTAAAGGAACCCTTTTTGATCTTGGCTTTGACTCTAGAATACATTTTGATCTCGTCTCTCTTGCACGGGATCCTTGGCACATGCTTGGCAGGACTTGGAACTTCGAGCGATCGTACTTGAAAACTGGGAACACATCTCACACTCTAGTTTGCTATTTATTTTAATTATGAATTTGTTTATGATTGTTTTAGTTCTTTTCTTTAGCATAAGTAACTAAGTCCATAGTTAGGGCTATGAGAACTATTGTTCATGAATTTATGAAATTTTGATGTTTGAATCTAAATTTGATTTCCGTTTTGTGATTAGATTTTATCCTATTGTGCTTCCTTCTTAATCCTAATTAATTATATCATTAAACGACTATACCTCGGTTAATTAATAGATCTATAGGATAAAATGAGACAAAGGATTAGGTGGACTAAACCAATCTTTCTCTTCTAATTGTTATTAAATTAACAAGTTCATAGGTTCCTCAAGCTTTCTCAAATTGATATCTTGCATAACCATTGGTGATATTAATTTAGAGAAAAGAATATTAATATTACATGACCATTGGATATTAATAGTATTTGTATGAATGATTGGTAATCACAAGGAAATTGAATTTAGAGTTAAATAGAAAAATAACATAAAAGATTGAATGAGAAAACTCATATACCCTAGGTTCCTCTCTGATAAGTTTAACCAAGATGTGCGTTGTATTCCTTCCTCTTAGTTTATAATTAATTTTATAAATTATTGTTTTAATTAATCTCATATCTTTGAAGCTTAAACAATTGAATTAGAAAATTCTTAGTAATTGAAAAACAATCCTTGTGGAACGATATTTCAGAAACTTAATTTAAGAACCCCTTATTACTTCTCGATAGGTACATTTGCCCTCCGAACAATTATGTAATATAATTCTAAATCCAAGCATGTAATAAAGATGAAATTAATGGTAAAGAAACATGTAACATTATCCATAATATAATCCAATACTTTGCAAACTAAACCCTAAACAAAAAAGAAATATTACATTACTAAGTTTAGGTCAAATAAACATAAAATAAATAATATATAAATTAGTTTTAATCTAGGTGATGATGCTAGCGTAGCTCGTCATGTAGCGTGAGGACGTACTGCCTCTATCAATCTCTGCCAATAGACTGCTATTGTGAACTTACAAGTAACGCTCCAACATCTGACTCCCTAGTTATTCGATGTCGAGTTTGAGGTTTGTGCCACTCACGTATCTAGAAGATATAAATGACATTGTCACCCTCCATAAATCCAAACTTTTAATGCAAATAAAGGGTGGGCTATTCATCATATCGACACTATAAGGTTAGCATACAATTTGCAATATCAAAATCATAAACCAAATTAAATGGGAAACAATCAAATAATTAGTTTAAATTTATAAACATAATTAAACAATAATTAATACCTAATCACATCTAAGATGATCAAACCTATTTATCTATATTTATATATAAAATTGACTACATTTACTTATTACTTTATGCACTTATAACAAAATTTATATAAAATTGACTACATGTATTTATTACTGTATACATTTATAACAAAATTTATGATTATTAAATTTTAGAATGCTTAGAATCATATATAGTGTTAGTAACAAGAATGATCTTAATATTAGTGTATGTTAAACATAGAAAAAAAACTAAGAATTACATTTAAAAAAATTATTGAAATTAATTACCATGATTTACATAACTTTAGAATTTAAATTATAATTGATTCATAATTATTATATTTTATTTGTACTTATGAAAAAAATTTATTAAAATTGATTATATATAAAAATGTTATATTGATGGTTATATGTAAAATTGACTATATTTATTTATTATTTTATATATTTATAACAAAATTTATATAAAATTGACTACATAATTACTATATGTGTTTAAACAAAATTTATGATTATTAAACTTTAGAATACTTAAACTTAAATATAGTGTTGGTAAAATTGGGAATAACAAATTGGCTATGAATGACATTTAAAAAGAATGTTGAAATTGATTATATATGAAAAAAAAAGTAAAAAAGCTAACCATAAAATGTTAAAAATAAAAAAAATTAATTAAAATAGTACAAAATAACATTGCAAAAAATAAACAAACTTTTATTATTCTATTAAAAATAAAATCACATCAATTATTTTAGGTTTTATTTAAATTTGAATGATATTGATTTAAATTATTTTCTTAGTCTAATATATTTAGTATATAAAAATATGTATTAAAAAAATTAAAATATATTTGAATTAAAAAATTACACACTAAAAAAATTATTATTTTATATTGCATATTATTAAATTAGTTTTCTAATGAAAAGATACATAAATTATAATATATATAAAAATATAATATTTATTACATTAATTTTGCATCTTATGATATATCATTAAATATGTCTTCATCTTCACCTATATAAATGATTTTTACTTAATTTTTGAAAACTTGTCAATTTTTTTATATCATATTACTTTATATTGTGTTTTGCAATAATGTTAATTCTAAAGAGTCATGTGTGTGTGGTTCATATATTTTATTTTGTTGCAATAAATTATATAAAAGGTATTTTTATTTATTTATTAAGAAAATATAAAATTACATTATTTTTAAGTAGTATAATATATTATATTTTATTTTTATTTGATTAAATTTTTATCAATTATGTATTATAAGTGATTTTTATTTTTACATCAAAATCAATAAAAAATTGTATCAATATTAATGTACCAAACGTTACCCATTTTATAATTTTATTCGAGTATAAAAATTATATTAATTTTTTCTATTATAATAATTATTGATAATACTTTTATTTTTAATTAAATTTTTAATTATTTATTATCACTTTAATATTGAGATTTAAATTATATTTATTATTAAAATTATTGATATTACAATATCTATAATTTTTTATAAGTATAAGAATTTTAAAAAATTTATATATAATTTTTATTATGACAAAATCAAATAGTAATATAATAATTTATATAATTTTTTATTTATTCTTTAACTAAAATTACTTTTTAATTAAATTTTAGAGTCGTGTTGTTTATTTTTAAATGTTATATTAATGGTTATAAATTTAAAATTTTTAAATTAAAAATAATTAATTATAATAATTAAAATAAATTAAATAATATTAAATATCATAATAATGAAAAGGTAATATATACATTTGTTATCCAAATCTTATGACAACTGTTGAATTTGTATATTTAATGTTTTTATATTATAATAAATAAATAAATAAATAAAATAAAATAAAATATTTTAAATCTAAATTAAGTTTGAATATTGTATTTACTTTTTATATATAATTTATTTCAATAGTAAATAAAAATTTGCAGTTTTTTTATTTTCTTTCACATTTTAAACATTTCTTCTATAACTAGGGAAAGATCTACGATCAAAATTAATTTTTTAAACCATTATAATTTTTCAATACTTTCATTATTAATATATTAAATTATATTTATTTATTAATATTTTATATTTTAATTTTTATATTCTAATTATATGATTATTAAATTTTTTTATTAAAATTGAATTTTGAATGCTTTTAAATTCAGTCAAATTATGATATAAACCTATAATTCATTTTTAAGATATAAACTAAATTATATGTAAAATATAAATTAAGATAAATATATTTTTTATTGATATAATTATTTATATATCATATTCTTAAAATTAATATTTATTTAAAAGTTAAAAAATTAAATTAAAAAAATAATTATTAATATATATTTACTTATTACAACACATATTATAAATCAAGTTTAAATATGTTATTTAAAAATTATAAATTAATAATTTTATACATAATTTATTATATTAATATTTGTTTCAATTTGTTTAAAATATAAAAATTAGACTTCATTCACACATATATTTTCTATAATAGTAAATATTCTTCTTTACCTTATTTGCTCCAATTCTTATAACTATTTGCAAAATTTGTTTGAATATAATTATTAAACAAAAAATTAAATAAATTATAACCACATTAAATTTAATAAAAATATCATATTACTGCATTAGTTGATAACACGTAGCATCCACCAATGGCTCTCGCCAAAATTTAATTTTAAAAAAAATTTCATTGATAATGACAAAACTAGCTTCATACATGATGAAAATTTTGCCACTATTACAGCATTTACATAAAATTTATTTTTAATATTGCACCTAGGTTTCGTGCATATAGAAATGGGCGGCGCAAACGTTTGCTCCTTCATTCACTTTGTTGCAATTTATTTTTAACTTTTGTTTTTTTCCAAACGAAGCCCAAGCCCTAAATTGAACACTGTTGGTCTGGTCGTGCCGGCCCACAGTCACATGACTGCCTTTACTAGGCCACCTGCTCCAGCCTCCAACACAGAACCGAAGGTGAAAAAACTGCTCACGAGCAACAGCATAGAAGGCTGCTACCAACAATCAAATGAAGTTTGTGGTGAATAAGGCATGGAGCAGTGGTTGTCGGGTAGGAGCGGTGGAGATGGGAAGCTGCCCTGGACCCATAGAGACCCCTGCTCTTCTCCTATCTACTCGTAAAGGGCTTCCTCACTTTATCTCCCCTGACCTTCTCACTTCTCTCCCTTCCCCTGATTCTCATCTCCTTCAAATTTCTCCACTCCACTTGTAAGTCGTAACCGCTTCCATTTTTCATAATCTAATAGCAATCTTCTTCTTACTTTTTTATATTTTCATTTCGTCTATTTGCTTAGTTTGGAAGGACTTGCTTCAACCACAATATCAAAAATAGGAGGCCTTCACCAAATGCTTGGTTTGCACCAATATGGAATTATAGCTGTGGCCAGGGATTCCATTCAATGCCTTCCTGAGTCTAAGGGAGCTACCAAATTCGGAGCATCTTTTGAGACTCCTTGTGGTCGTCTGTTGGTAAATGTTAAATTTCGTGTCAACTGACAATTGCTGCCTGCGTTGCATTAGCTTGCTCTCTACACTGTGCTTTAGTTTTACTTTTTAAATAATGGTGAATCTAATGTATCTTTTAATAAATTGACGTGTCCAGATTAAACCCAAAGATTATGTTGAAATGATTTCTTGCATGAGGCCAAATGTATGGGCCACTTTGGCTGATGAAGTACCTGCTTGGGTGTCTGATAAAAGGAACATAACCTCAGTAGATAGAACTTTGCGATGGCTTGATGATTGCCTTGCATTGGATCCGGTGAATGACAATTTATGTTTTTTGCTTCTAGTTATGCATTCTGAAATTCATGAATTCTTAAATATTTAATAGATGTAATATTGTTGTTTCGATGATGTTTGTTATAATTTCAGTCTTTTGGGTTGAGTTTTGAAAATATTGTCATCCCAAGCTTTACATATGGTTTTTATTAACTTAGTAAAAACATACAATTAGGTACCAAAAGATGTGTTATGGAAGAATTTAGAAAAGAGAGGGGTCCGTGTGGCATATATTTAGGTTATACAAGACATGTATGAGGGGGTAACTACATATGTGAAAATTTCTAAAGGCATATCTAAAGACATTCCAATAAGGATAGGTTTACATTAAGGCGTTGTTTTAAGTTCTTACTTATTTAAGAGTTTTAGATGTGCTAGAAGTAACGTACAAAAGATTATCTCTAAGTACATGTTTTTTGCAATTGATGTAGTGTTGGTTGAGAATTAAAAAAAAAGTTAATGTTAAACTTGAATTATTGAGAAAGACTTTAGAATCTGAGGGTTTTCTCTTGAGTAGACGTAAGACAAAGTATATGCATTGTAAGTTTAGCAAACAACAAGATGAAGATCATGTATTTGAAAGTTAAAATTGAAGATGATATTATATACCACAAGTTTTTAGATTAAGGTACTTATGATTGATTCTGTAAAATGATGGAGATCTTCATGAAGATTTTACTCAGAATATAGGTTAGATGGCTAAAGTGGAGAAAGACATTAAGAGTTAATTGTAACTGTAACATATTTATCAAACTGAAAGGAAAGTTTCATTGTACTGTAATATAACTAGCTATGTTTTATGGTAGTGAGTATTGGGCCTTACAGGAATAACACAAGAACAAATTTAAGAGTGACAGAAATGAGAATGTTAAGGTGGATGAGTGGTCGCACGAGAAAGGATATAATAAAAAATGATATTATACATGAAAATATTGTAATAACACTTAAATTAGAAAAGATGAGTAAAAACCATATAAGGTAGTTTGGTCATGTGCGAAGAAGACCATTAGAGGTACCGGTGAGAAAAGTGAATTGCATAACTTTTAGTCTAGTAAAAAGGAGTTGAGGTATACCAAAAAGAACCTTAGATACAATTATTAAAAGAGACCTTTTGATTAATCAAATTTCTAAAAATTAGGTTTTTGATCGAGTTTAATTGTGTCGTGTGATCCATGTAACCAATCTCACCTAGTCGGGTAAGCCTTGGTTGTTATTCTAAAGGTGTTGGGATGATACCGAGGCTGGCTGGAACATCTACGAAGTGTGGCTGGAAAAATTATGGAAAATCGGCTGGAAATAGAACATGGCCATGTAAGATCATTAGGGAGAACATGGTCTTACCAATTCTTTTATTGAGAAGAGAAGACTGTTGTACTTCATCAGTTCACTGCACTCCCTATTGTTGGAAAATGGTCAGGATGATGTCATCTCCAGCGAATACCAGTGCACAATGAGATCTGTTGGAGAAGAGAGAGAGAACAGAGAAGAAGGGTTTGTGTTGCTGAATGGGGGAGGGAAAGTTATGGTTTTTTTAGGTTTAAGGAATGGTAAAATGTTCTTTTAATCCTTATGAAAGGCCCCAAAATTACTTTGTGGCAGAGATAGTTTTGGGTTTTTGTAACCCCGTCAACATTGTGCCACAATTGCTTGCAACAGGGTTGGGCCATGGCACCTGTGATGATGAAGAAGCTCCATGATGGCGTCCTTGTATTGGCCAGCCACTGCTTTGTGCTATGGTGGGCACAGATTGTAACCTAATTATCTAAACACAACCAATTGACAATATTATATAAAGATAATATAGAAAAAGACAAGAACTAAAAATGCAATTACTTTAATATTGATGAATTCAAATTCTAGCAAAATTCAAGGGTTTAGTTTCACCGCAAATTAAAATTGATCAACTTAACTAAAATAAATCTTTTGTTGATTCTTGATTTATCTTGTAGGCAAATTACTCTAAGATGATTATTGTTTCTTTTCAGAATTCAACAATGTATTTAATAGACTAACCCCTACTTTTGTGGTAATTAAATCCAATTAAACCCATTAAATTTTATGGTGATTTGAAAATTCCTCAAGAAACTTAGCTTACTTATGTGGTCTAGAATTTCAGGTTCAATTTTGGGGGTTACAATGACAAGGTTTACCTTTCAGTCCTTAACATCTAAATCATGTAAACAAAGGGCCCAACAGATCCACAAGCATTAAGAGTACCAAGAATTAAATCAAGAGATCATAAACAATTCATTACATTGTCATCAATCCTAATTTGGGTTACTTCCAAACCCTAGAATATAGAAACTACTCGGTCATCATTGAATTACGACCAAAGAAAGTAAATCTAGATATGATTAGGAAGAACAGAAATGAGAGAAATGAGAATAGAAACAAGAAAGAAATCTATCTCTACCCTTTGAGGTACATTGCTCTTGCAAATCCCATAGTAATCCTTTCGGAATCTTGTCCCAAAAAGTCTTTGTTGTCGCTTTGATCTTTTTGGTTTGCTCTTTTCATTCTTCTTTGATGTCTATTTCCAAGAATGTTTGAGGTTAAACCCTACTTTGTGTCATATCTTTTCTATTTATCCTTGGGGTGTCAGAAACCTTAAAACACTTAAAATTGATAGAAAATGTGAAGTTCATGCAGATGCTACCCAATCTATGGCCACAGAAGATTTCATGGGCAGGCTGTGGATCTCCCTGGAAATAAAATTTGCGGAATTCTGGTCCAGGCAGCACAATCCATGGCCGTGGTGGCATTCACAGCCTGCAAGTGGATCTCTCTAGACTTGAATCATGGTTTCCTTTCTTCATGACCTCACTCCAGAGCCATGGGCAACTCCACTGGCACCCAGTAAATTCTTCGGGGGATCAAAATTCCTCTGTTTTGAGCTTTCAAACTCTTGAAAATTCTTCCCTAACCCTTTATCTACATACAAAATGCAATAGTTATCTGAACTAATTATGGAAAATGTATGCTTAAATCTAAATAAAATGCATGATTATGCAACATTTGTGTATTGATTTATGTTATGATAATATGTTAAATATGCACACGAAAGCTATTCATAACTATGGTTTTGTACATAAAAATAATTACATCATTCTTATTCCACACTCCTGTTCTTTCCTGCATTGTGTTTAATAATATTTCCTTTGTTATCAAATAAAATTAACTATCTTAATTTTGTTGATGTCTCAAAATTTAGGCAGCTGGATCCATCTTTGGTGCCATTGTTGGAGGATCAAATTTGGATGAAAGGAAGCGATGTGCAAAAGAGGTAGCCAAGCGAAATGTATCAGGTTTCTTTTTCTTCTGTTGTTTTGAGTATAATATATGTGTAATGTTTTCGCACTGTTTTTGTATATTTTTTTATGCTTCTTTCATCATTTCCAATTTTGCCCAACATGGAAGCTGACTTATGGTTCTTGAATTTTGTGTAACACTCAACATGACCGAACTTGAAAATAAATTTGTTCTTGTGGAAAGCCTTTGATAATTGATATGAACCAAAAAGTGGTAATTCTCCTGACCCATATCCATACCCATAAAGTTTTACAGGTTTATCATACCTAGACCCAAATGCATTTAGCAGGTATATATTCTACACATCATGGATACTTTTTGCAGGCACTCAAAGGGTATAAGACCCATTTCCATCCCTAAGTCAAGATTTACTTTTAGTATTAGAATTGATATTCTCTGTTTTTTATGGATACTGTCTGAAATGAATCTGCATCACAAAACCAATTGTAATAGCATAGCTTTTTTACTAACTTCATATTTCTTTCGTTTCTTTTTATAATCTCAATTTTTTAGAAGCGAAATTAGGTTAATATTGCAGTTTATTTGTCAAAATCTGTCAATCTCTTAGATCCCTATATGGTACCTAGTAATTAATGGATTTGAGAGGAGTTTGGCAAAACCCTTTGATCTCCTAGAGCTTTGGCATTGTGGGTTGCGTGGGGGAGAATATGTCATTGGATTGGTTAAAATATTAGTCATAGCCTTTAGATTAAAGAAAAATGGTATGATTTAGTGTGAAATGAAAATTAACAGCAAGTGTCAATGTTTTTTTTATACAAGCCAAAATACAGCCTTGATTACAATCTGCAAACAAGAATATTTACTTATTATCTCTGTACCATTCAGAATGGCTACTCTTTTTTTAACTGTTTGTTAGTGTGTGTTATGTGATCATTTTAGATCTTTTAATGCCTATATCCTTGTGATACATATGATAGCTGAACTGTAATGATTTATGCAGGTTATTGGATTGGAGGGTTTGGTCTTGGAGAGAGCATTCATGAGCGATCTGCTCTTTTAAGTGCTATTATAGTAAGTGCTATTGCAGTAGTAGTTTAGTTACTTCAGAAAGTCCTTTAATCCTGAAAAGTATTATTGTACTATGATTATAGTAGTCAATCCCGCAGCGTGGAGTGGAGCAGCTGACCCCAAAAACACTATAGCAGGATAGTGGATAGTGGGATGACCGCTATTCTATAGTTATAAATATACCTAATATAAATGAATCTACACACACATATATGCTGAAAAATACAAAATTAATACACAGATTAAAGACATGTGTGAAAGTTTGAGAAGATAACACATGTTAAATGTCAATAACAACAAAATAAAGGAACCAAACAGAGGTAGTTTCTTGTAACTGATTGGGGGAGCAGCCATTGCTTCTGTATTAAGCCTTCAAATTTGGAACAAAACAGATAAGGAAATAAAAAATAGTGTTCAGTGACTGGAAAATGTTTGGGTCATGTTGGAAACTGTCAAAGATGAAGATGACAACTTGAAAACATTTGGTCATGTCAGAAGTTTTGCTGAAGGTGAAAAAAATGACCGGAAAAGTCTGGGTCAAGTCAAAACATGTCACTGTAGATGAAGGAGATGACAAGAAGTTGGTCGGAAATGATGACTCTCGATGTCGTACCAAAGAAGCAAGAGGAACATAAAGTATGTTGCACCAAAAAAGCAAGAGAAACAGAATTGGTTGGGGGGGTTTGTTAGGCCTAATTGACGAATAGGAATGGAAATAGGCCGGACTAGACTAGACTTTGATTAAATAGGCCTGACCTACTTAAAAATTTTGAAGCCTAAGCCTAACCTATTATTTGTCATAGGCTTTTTATTAAGTCTAAGCCTAAATCTGCCTTTGTAAAAGCCCGTTTTAGCTTATTAACTTTTTTAATGGCCTACTTCGTATTGAGACCTTCAAATAAGTAAATTATTTTATTATTTTTAATTGGAGAAAACATTTTGTTAATCTGAAAATTAAAAAAAAAAGAAAAAAATAATAAAAAAGAGTTACATATAATACAAACAAGTACGTAAGAAGATAATGAATGAGACGAATTAATAATAGATGTAATTGAGATAGCAAATCAACATTATGTGTATAATATAGATCAAGCAATAGTAACACCAAAGGCTCCAGTAAGTATGACTCTTTCTCTTTCATGATATGTAGTAGGTACATTCTTTAACTCAAACGAAAAGAATTAGAGTTTTTAATTTAAAATTTTATTCATTTTAAAATTCATTTTATTTAATATAATATTATATTATGATTTTTATATAAAATTATTTAATATATTACTATAAATTTTATGTGTTTTAAATAGGTCATTTTAATAAGCTTAATAAGTTTTTTCTTAAGCTCAAGTCGAATCTATTTAATTAAGTCTATTACTTAAATAGGCCAAGCTAGGTTAAGCTTTAAAAAGGCTAAATCGTAGGCTCCTATTAGATAGTTTGGCCTATTTCCATCCCTAACGTCGAAGGAGAAGATCAGCTATGTAAAATAGGGGTGAAATCTCAAGATTGCCCCTCTTAAAAGGTATCCAATGTTAAAAAAGGGAGGGTAAAATCGGTTTTTAGCTTTGCATGGAATAGCGGCTGCAGTTTTCACTTTTTTTTTGCTGTGATTTGTGGTCTGATGACTGCTATATCAAAACGCAACGCGGGAATTGGAAAATAGTGTTAGAGACAAGTTTCTCGAAGGCTTGAAAGCTTACAAGCGGCAAAACTATAGGAGAGGAATTAGGAAATAAGTTGTTACGTTCTGTTTTGAGTAGTTTAGGATTTTCTTTTGTTATTGTTTTCTGTTACCTTTTGTTATTTTCTGTTACAGTAGCTAGGAGCATGATTTTAGGAAACATAACAGCTTAAATAAGGGGATTACAGAGGGAAATGGGCATCAGGAAAATTATTTTAGACTTAGGGTATTGAGCCACTTGAGAGCTCACTTTCCATTTCTGTAATTTCTGCTCAACTAAGCCAATTCAATACATAATTTAAATTTTCAGAATCCTTACCTTATCATAGTGGCAAGGTGCCACTTCGCTCCACACCGCCATGATAGCAACCACTATTGACTACTATGCATGATTAGTAAAATCTGATTTTCTTGTTACATTTTGTTTCTACTTGTGGACATTGCATAAAAATTACTATTTCTGCTTCTAAGAAGAATTCAAGTGGTTAAGATGTTATTGTTATTAGTTATCAAGTAATATGTTATTATACATACCCGATTATAGCATAAGTTAGTTATTCTGTTATTATAGTAGTTATTAGTTGCAGCTTTTGCTGTTGTATATTAATGCTATACAGATCATAGCAATGAAATTCACATTATTCAGATTCAATACATGTCTACATATTTTCCCTTTTAATCCTAATATATAACACAAAGGTATTGTTACCTCTGAGTAAGGTGGATGGATACCTCAGATGGCAATCTGTATTATTAGCAAATATGGCTAACCAACAATGAGCATGAAGGTTGAGCTGTGATCTGCTTTATTCAGCCAGGCATAATGATAATTACTACTTAATCATTGTTTGAATCAAAATACACCTTCTGTTAATGACAATGGTCACTTTTCATGGCTTAGTTATAATGTCATTCTCTTGCTACCTATTTTGGGGGGATCTTTAGTCTTACTGTTTGTATTCTAAATATATTGAATTTTTCTTTTGAAATTCTCTGTCAGAGACCAAAATAAGTAAGATATGAATTGTATTATTAAAGAAGAAGAAAATACTGCAGAAGGAATTCTCCAATACCTTGAGCAATGATCCTACAAAGGTTAAAACCCTTCTCCAATACTAACAGAAAGCAAAACAGCCCTCTTTCTTTCCTTACCCCACTATATGAAGCATTACACGTCAATTTGCTCTCCCATAACTGATTTCCCCTTCTAATTCCCATCTGCCCCTTCTTATTATTTCTCGTGTTGTACGTTTTCCAAATTTAAGGCCCATGACTGAGTTGGACTAGACTTGTCAACTTAGGTTCATGTGACGTGACATTACCATCCGCATCAATTGAAGCCTTGTCCTCGATTAGCATCTTCAGCAGGCTGCCCTTGCCACTTGATTAACCAGTATAGAACAACACCCTGCTTTTTCTGTTTGTATTGATCTACAAGAATTTTCTCAGGATTATGTTTGCAGCCACTTCTAGCCCTAACCCAGTTGTCAAATCATGTGCAGGATGATAATTTCACACTGCCTCTTTTAGTTGAGAAATGTGAAAAACAGGGTGGATCCTAGATTAAGGAGGAAGTTTCAGCTGGTATGCCACTTTACCCACCTGCTTTTCAATCTGGTATGACCCATAGAACCTAGCCACCAACTTAGAATTAAATCCTTTGAAGGATCCGGTTGGAAAATTTGTCCATTTTCTGTTTTCCCCTTGATTAGCATCTAACCTTGCTGCTTTGTATCATTCCACACTCATCAACTTTACATTTAATTATAAAAACATCCATTGTAATGTACAATTTTTTCTGCTTGGTAATTCAACAATTTCTCAAGTGCCATTCTTCTTATGTTAAGAAATTTGGGCCTAACTCACTCCCAAAAGTTAGCTCATAGGAGGAGGACTGCCTTTGCCTTATAAAGAATATTCTGCTTCTATTCCTAACCAATGTGGGACATCTTAACACACCCCCTCACGTCTAGGACTGGACATCTAGTGCATGAAATTTGCAGGGCTGGACATCTAGTACATGAAATTTGCAGGACTGGACATCTGCACAGGTGAACTCACATTTGTGGACAGCCCAACATTGACTGCCTTTGCCTTATAAAGAATATTCTGGTTCTATTCTTAACTAATGTGAGACATCTTAACACACTCCCTCACTCCTAGGACTGAACATCTAGTGCATGAAATTTACAGGACTGAACATCTGCACAGGTGAACTCACATATGTGGACAGCCCAACATTCAAATTGGATAGGCTTTGATACCAATGTGGGATATCTTAACATGGTATCAGAGCTTAACAAGAAGGCATGGGAGGAATTCTGTCTTGTTAGGCTCTGGATACCAATGTGTTAAGACAGAATTCCTCTCATGCCTTCTTGTTTTCTCTCATCTTAACAAGTACATTCATTGATACCATCATAACAAGTTTCTAGTTTTGATCATCTAGGGCTTCTTGAATGTTTCTGGTTTTTGGGCATAAATAGATTTGTGATCTGCATGTAAATACTACAAGTAATGGCATTTTTTTGGGTGCATGCTCGAGTTCCTTTTCTGAGTGCTATAGGAATAACGATGTCTAAATTTTCAGACTTGGAATAAGTAGTGGTATTACCAAAAGTAGATTCCATGAGTGCTTGGACGATAAGTTCGACTCAACCTTTTGAAGATTTCTTCCTTCAAGCATAAATCTTTAGCTTCTTTTTAGTTGTGGTACTTCCCCTGTTCTTGAGTCGGCTAATGATGATATCTCTGCCACTTTTAATATCTTGAACATTTGTTTTAAGTTTTAACTGTAGGGGGACTATATTTTAAGACAAATTGCAGTAAGGGCTCATGACAAAAATAATCTTCACTGCTCTTTATCTATCCATGGAGATGATTTTCAATGAAATAAGTTATTCCTCTATGAAGGCTCCCTCCCTCGTTAACATAAAGTTTCTTTGTTTTAGGGTTAAAAGATACATAGGGAAAAAAAGGAAAGAAATTCCTAGTCTAAGTTTTATGATATAAATTTCATGTTATTACATCAATTTCATAAAGTTGGTTGCAAGCATTTGTGATGGTTGGCAAATGTTATAACTTTTGATTGGATAAAGTGACCTCTTTCTCAGGATGTCTTGCCAGGTGAAAAACCACGCATGATCAGTGGGCTTGGACTCCCAGGTACATACGGTCTTTACTAGTTTATCCTTGCATTCATTGGCCTGCTCTGCTTAATGGATTTGTTTTTTTTCCCTTGCATATGGTTATCTGTTCCTTTTGCTCTTGTACCTTTTTTAATATCAACCTCAATCATTTACTTATTTTGGATGATGATGAATTGTTAGGGTTCAAAGATAAAATCAAGGTAAGGATTGAAGAAAATGATGGTTTTATTGATCACCAGAAAGAATTAGGATTACAAAAGAATCTCTGAGAGCTAGCAGCTCTTTAACAGAGAATGAAATTCTCCCCAAAAAACCAACAGAATCGATAATTTCACAATAAAAAACTAACTCTATTTATAGAATCTATCTTAACAGCTAGCAATATTAACAAACTAATTGCATGATCAATACTAACAAACTAACATTAACTAAGCTTTATCCTTATCTTCTGCACTAACAAACTAACATTAGCTAAGCCTTATCCTTATCTTCTGCAGCTGACTCTTTTCTACCCTTCCTCCTAAAATAAACCTTCCATACTTTAGGTCTCTTATTGACATGAATCATATGTTCCTTTGCCACGGTTCTAACATGAATTGGTTATGAATAACTGAAGCGAAGCAACGTCTTGAGTTACATAATCATGGACATTAATACAGTTAAATCATAGATATTGATTCATTTGACTAGGCATGGAGTTGGTAAAAAACCATCATGATTGTTCTATTCCCTTGTGTGCTCAGCTAATCTATAGAACTCATTTTTTATCTTAAAATGGAGTATTTCTTGATTAAGTTTGAATACAAATTTATTGTGCATAAAAGCTTATTTCAACTTTACAGAGGAGATCTTGCAAGGAATTGATGCTGGAATTGATCTTTTTGACTCAACGTTAGTAGCTAATTCCAATTTCCATTTCTTAAATATCCCTATTTTTGCTGTTGTATTGTGTAATGGAATTTGGATGGTTTCTATGATGGTTCATAGGTACATCTATTCCCTCACACTTGGAGGATTTGCACTAACCTTTTCACTGGACAAGAATGGGAATCAATATAATTTTCAGCAAAGCCAGACTGGAAGTGACATGACAAAAATAAATTTGAGAGCAAAAGTTTATAGGTAACTGGATCATTTTAATTGCTTTCTGAATTGGATGCTATCAGTGAGAGTTGAAATCTTTGTTCATAGCTTACAACAGATTATATTAATCTTGGAGGTGAATGAATGCTATTTAGTTATCATTTTCAATCAATATAATTTTTTCTTTGTCTAAATTAATTCTGTTCACTCATTTTTTCCTGTTTCGGAATTATCAATTTCAATTTTGCAGATGTTGGGATTATAGCAGTTGCTTAAGATTCTTTTGCAATATGATATATCTATTTTGTGTTGTGGAACTGTGCTAACATGGGTAATGGTTTGGGGAGTATGATGCAAGTTGTCTGTTAGATCAATTGGGGTAATTGTAATCATGAGAAACGTCAGTAACTCACTCTCTAATACACTTTTCATAACATACTTGAATACAAATGCTATCACTCCTCTTGTAAGCATTTGTATGGATGTTAGATTAAAGTAGTTCCATTCAGTACATAGAACAAACAAGGTATCATATTTTTTAATGCACTGATGAAAGATAAGTAATAATATGCTTGCCAAAATACATTTTATTAGGATAAAACATAGATGTAGACTAGTATTTCCGGTACTTTTAATGGCATTCTTCAATCAAATTGAAGTTTACCTTTGTAATGCACACCAACCTTTATTCCATGGGTGGTGGTTGGTAAGACTCCAATTGTGGCTAGAAAAGTAACAAGAAAAGCTTCTACGGTCCTTGTACTAATAGGTTTAGGCCCAGTTTGAGTACACTTATAGTGAAGTCTTTATAAGAGAAGAAAATCAATATAACAAAAGAAAAATAAAAAAAACTTCTGTCATAGTTTAGAAACAATTTATCTTATAAAAAATAAATAATTTTTCACTCTTATAAGTACTAATTGATAAGTTTATCCAAATTTAGTCTTTTTATTTAACTTCTCTAAAATTTGAAAAGATTAGTTGTTTCTAACTTCTAAGAAAAATTTTATTTATTTTTTGTACTAATTTTCTTCTCTTATAAGAACTTCTCTAGAAGTTTATCCAAATTAAACCTTAGTATTGTTAGTATTTTGTTAATATTGCTTTTACTAACAACTGTTACTTAACAGATTAGTCAGTTAGGAATTTAGGGCATTAGCTATCAATACATAGCATTCTGTTGTACTCACAAATCAATCAAGGAAATCATTCAAGTTTACTCTCATTCTATATCCATCCTTACTCTTTCTCTCTCTGTATTTATCTCATGTTCAACAAGTGTATTCTAAGACCCTAAACCCTAAACCCTAAACTTTAACAAGTGTATTCTAAGATATAAGATTGATATTATGAGATATTCTTATGAAAACATATTAATTGAAAATGAAAACAAATTAAACTAGATATCACCTTATTTACTTATTTATTTGCTTTTGTTTTCATGCAGGAAGGATATGTCCCCCATTTTAGGAAACTGCTCCTGCTATACATGCCTGAATCATTCTAAAGCATACATCAATCACCTATTTAATGTTCATGAAATGCTGGCACAGATTCTGCTAGAAATGTATGAATTTTTTTGCTTCAAATTATAGTGGCAATAATACTACAAATAATTATGAAGCTGGTTGTATCTGTAACAAAAATAATTATATCCATACTTAAGACTTATAAGCTTTAATAGTGTTACTCTGATTTTTGCAGCCATAACACACACCACTATTTGATGTTCTTTCATGTAATAAGAGAAGCAATCAAAGATGGAAGGTTTGAGAAATTTCGACAGACATTCATTGAGAGTAGGCGTGCACATCACGAAAGGGAAGCTGTTTGTGCTTGAGGTCATATACGTTCAGGTGTTTCCATCTGGGTTTTGGCTTATTATATGATACAAGGACATCAATTTTAGTAGTGTCTACGGATGAGTTTAGCTGTCATTAGATGTGATTTATGAGAGAGGACATCAATTTTGTTTTCATAGTTCTTGTTTTCACTATTAATTTTGTAACCAAAGATGCTAGCATTATTTGATTGCATAGTTTTGTTTTAAATCCTTCTCAGTTTGTGTATGCCAGTTGGAGAATTTAGAATGCACATTGTCATTGTATGCAATTATGTAGTATATTTACTACTACTTGAGGTGGAGTTCATATCAGTACAATTGATATTAATATTATAATTTTTTTAAGCTGGCCTGTTTTTCTGTTTTTTTTTCTTTGTCTAGTTGTTTTTATAGGTTCAATGTTCAATGGCTTACTGAAAAATGCATATCCGAACAACTTTAAAATACTAGGATCTAATACTTAACTTCCCTTGTGTTAAATGAATATATTGCTTATTCTATTTTTGTTTTGCCTAAATTTACCTAATCCCTTAATTGATACGGTAAATCTTTTTTAAAATAAATAAATATATATATAGAGATAAGATCATTATATACTGGTGTAAGTTTTAAAATTCTTATACTTGATCTAATTTTTTATTTAATTTTGATTGACCATATTTGTATGTTTATACATTAAAAAGATTACCACTTCTTGCATCATTTCATTGTAGTGTAGTAACCATGAGGAAGAAAAAAAATTGAATTAAGATATGTGATGTGTATAATCCTTACTCTTGATGGGAATTTAACAAAAGTTCTTGATTCATTGCAATATTTATATAGAACTAAGGTATCCTCATAGCAATTATGGTATAACTCTTCTTGAAAGGTTTAGTGGCATATTGAAAAGTGAAAGCAATCATATTTTTCATCCCTGACAAAGACAAGACTATACCAGGTGTCAAAACTTACCCTAAACAGAAAATATGTTTCACATTTTCCAAATTTGATAATTTGTTTTCAAATTAACCCTAAATAGGCCCAAAAAAACCCCCCACATACCCTTAAGGACAAAAATAAATTGTCAAATCAAACTTGCAAGCACGGCAATTGATTGATATTTTATAACTGTCAAAAAATTTGCTTCAGTTACTCTTACCCTTAAGCTAGAAGACCTCGTAATTTTTACCTTTATATCCATCAATGATAAAGGAACTATTTGTTGAAAATGATTCCATGATTCTGGTCCACAATACCCTCCATTCCCAAGGCAAGGAAATAAAAACACATCTTCCTCATAGATCCATAGCTAATTGAATTTCTTTTTTAACTGAAGTCGGCATATCATATAAATGGCTCATCAGTGTGTGATACTGGCAATGTTATATAATTTAATTACAAAGAAAAAAGGTTCAAAATAAATTTTGGACAAATTATTATTTACAGCCATTACTTAGCCGTGTGCGTGAGTGTGTATACATACAGTGGAATCTTTGGTAGCCAAGAGGAAACTTAAGCAAACGAAACATACAATTTTGGAACGAACATGAGCAAACGTATGCTACATTAACTAGTGAATAACTACAAGTTGGCAAATTAATTTGCCCCAAATTCAAAACTATGACGTTGTGCAAAGGGAATTCATGAACCAGTGTAAAAGCTATATATATTGTTATCTCGATTCAGAGTCCTCAGGCTCTCCATTATTAACCAAACGGACCTCCCTAGTACCTAGAAACTAGATAACTCACTATTCACTTTGCCAGATTTTCCTGAAGAACATTCAAATTATGGATTGACAATCATCAGGTTTCTCAGGTTCACCCTACGAAGTTAACTTAACCCAGTCAGCATATACACCTAACGGGGTATCAATGAAGCATTTTCCTTTCTATCTTTCTCTAAACTAACTAGAGAGGATCCTAATCCAAAACCCTCCAAATTCACCTCAAAATCTTCGTAACATTATTATTTATTACCTCAGCCTGGGGTGGATTCATCTCGAGCCCAAGTGGGCTCCCCTTCATCACAATGGTTGGAAGCCTATCAACATCCCAACCCAGAACCTTGCACACGGCAAGCCCAAAAGCCCTGTGAGCCCGTTTCTCCACGGTCCTCAAAATCGACATGGAATGCTGAACAAGCCCAAAACAACCCTTAAATCTCTTCCCCGATTTCTTCTTCCCAATGCCACCACAAACCAAGCAGCAAAACTCACCGTTCTCGAAATTCCTCTGGTAATATCCCCTCATTTCATGGTTTTCCATGAACACCCGCACGAAGAAAACCTCAAATTCTTCCCATCCACCACCACCACCATCATCATCCTCATAGAGATCACCATCAGCATCATCAGCATCATCATGGCTTGATAGGAACTCCTTGAAAGCTTGGCATGCTTTGTGCTGCGCTTGCAATGCAGCGCGCTTTTCCTTTTCTTGAGGTGACACGGTGGAAGGAGGAGGTGAATCGGGTTTGGGTTGGCCCAACCTGTTTGGGCCGGTTCGGGTTGAACCGGGCACGGCCATTCCGGATCGGGGTCTGGTGGTGCAGTGGTGTCAGGAGTGGGGTTCTTTGGTTCATGTTTCTTTTTCTTTTTTTTGAAGGTGGGGGAGGGGGGAGGGGAGTGATCGGGTGTGGGCGGGTGCAAATGGGTGATGAGGACGAAGGTGGCACGTGTGCTGGTGAGGGGTATAGGGTTGAGGTGCAGAAAAGGGAATTGGAAAATGAAAGGGGTTTTGAGGTTGAGGTGGAGAAGGGCCTCGGTGCCAGAGAGAGTGGAGGAAAATCACTTCGTTTCTTAGCCTCTGTTCGTCGTAGGGATTCATGCTCTTTGGCTTTGTGCGGATTCGAATGAGACGCTTTCTACTTCCTATTTTCTATCTTCCCGTCACAATCTCGCGATTTAACTCAAACAAGGCTTTTTTATTTTTCTAATTATTAAAATAATATTTTTTTAACACTATTTTCTTTTTAGAATTTTATTTCCTCGTCATCCATGATTCTTAAGTTTTTCTTAAGGTGGGTCACACTCTTTATTATTCATTAATTATTGTAATATCATTTGAGCGAGCCCACCTTTAAAGATATCTTTTTTTAAAAAAAAATATAGTTTTATCTTTTCATCATGCAAAACTTCTTTTAAAAAAAATTTAAAAAACTTTTTCGTACACACAAAATTTTACGATGGCTAGCATGAGTTAGCATATAAGTTAACTCACAAATAAGTTAGCAAAATATCATGTTATAGCAAGTTTTAAAAATTTGAATATTTAAAAATTAATTTTTATCAAATTTTAAATAAAAGATATCAATCTCTTAAATATTTAAAATAAGTCATTCTTTAATATAATTTTTTTTAAGGTCAAGAAAGAACGTAATTGTTTATTTACGAAAAATTATATTATATTTTCTCAAACTCATTCCTATCTTTATTTTTGAAGAAAAAGTAAGGTAATATTTTTTTAGAATATTGTTGTAGAAGTTTTGTTTAATTTTTCTTTCTTCTATTTTAATTCTTTTTTATTCCGCTCCTTAATAGTATGCAAACCTATTTGTCATATCTACCATGAACCCTAAATCTACATAATCATTAATCCTTTTGATTGTTATACTCTCAATTGTAAGATTTTTTATTTGAAAACATTGTATACTCATCCCAATTATTTTAAAAATCATTATTTTTGTTTGATCAGAATAAAGGTAATGATTAAAGAGATTTTGTTGAAAAAAAAAAATCCAAGAATTCACTTCATTGTAAATTTAGCTTAAGCCAAAATTACCTGCTTAAGCTAAATTTAGACAGAAATGAATCTAATTTGTTCGTTAATTTGCTTAAGCTACCAAATATATGCTTAAACTAATCAAAGACTGAGATGAATTTAAATTTTCATCAAAATTATCTTAAGCCACAACACATGAGCTTAAGCTAATTAAAGACGTATGTGAATCTAACACACATTTGCTTAAACTCATCGGTTATAGCTTAAGTTAATCTACGACAGAGATGAATCTAATTTGTTTGTTGAATTCGCTTAAGCTAACATACATATGCTTAAGCTAATCAAAGACTGAGATGAATTTAAGTTGGGTGTGAGGTTACACAATCCCAATATTCCAAGGTTGTTCCTGAATTAGCGAAGAACGTGTGTACAGTTTTGCAACTTATCGTTACCGTTTCGCTTAAGCCAGAGTTATTCGCTTAAGCTAAATTCATACAAAGATGAATCTAATTTTTTTTGTCAAATACGCTTAAGCTAATCAAAGACTGAGATGAATCTAAATTTTTTGTCAAAATTAGCTTAAGCCACAGACCATGAGCTTAAGCTAATTAAAAAACATATGAATCTAACACACATTCACTTAAGCTTATGATTTGTGGCTTAAGCTAACCTAAGAATGAGATTAATTAAAATTCTTGTTACAATTTGCTTAAGTGTATAGTTTAGCTAAAGTGAATTACAATTTAGTTAGTGATATCTCATTTAAAATAGTTTAAGTATTTCGTTTAAGTTATATTTATTTGATCGAAGCTAGTTTTTATAAGCTTAAGCGATATAATATTAGTTTAATTGCCCAATTTCTCGCTTGACGACATAAATTTAGCATAAGCGACATGGCATTAGCTTAAGTAAATATTTTTTTTGCTTAGGTGGTATATCATTAGCTTAAGCGAAACATCATTAGCTTAGACAAACTATTATTAGCTTAAGTAAAGTAGTAAGCCCATATTATTTGTTTAAGCGAGATAACAAATTATTACCTAATTTATTTTATAGACTCATTCTTATCTTCACCTAAATTATAAATTTAAATTTAAAAGTAAAATATATTTATTTACATTTGTTAATCACTATAAAATACCACTAGTCCAACTAGATGCAATTTAATTAATTTGATATTAGATTACTCAACTAAGTAATATGTTATGGATGCAAATCTTAAACTCAAAATAAAATAGTATAAAAAGTAAAGTCTTCCTATTACTTTTAATTTTGCTATTATTTATTACAATTTCAATTTGGGAATATATTTCAATTATAAAATTTTACATCAAGGCCAAGAATGCATTTGATAAAGCTTTTTAAATATTTAAAATCTTAATTAAACAATTGAAATGACTGTTGAAGAATAAATTTTTTATTTATTAAAGTAACTCGAAGTAATAGTAACTAGTATATTTTGAAATGGTATTTGAACATTTTAAAATTAACCTAAATTATCATAAAAAATCAATAATTATTGTTAATCAGTTAACTCATCATTAAAATTATCAAAATAAGAAATACTAAGGTGGAGGGTCCATCACATTTGTTTCGATTTTTTTATATTACTATTTTTAACCATTTAATTACTATATTATTATTTGAATTTTAAAATAAACATCTTAAACGGATTCCAATGAATTTTTTTAATTTTTAAAAGCTTGTGAATATTTATTACTACTATTGTTTTATTTTTTACTTAATTTGATAAGTTTCTTAATATTGCTCATTATATAAAAATTTATAAACAAATTGAAGGTATAATTACTCATACAAAATAGTTTATTTAATAATAGCTTAATTAAGGTATGTTCTTAAACAAACTCTAAATTAATTAAACTACATAATTCAAATATTACTTTTTATCATACAAAAAAAAGCTTTTGACATTAAAATTTGCATGTTTTTATAAATGATCTTAACAAAATTTTCAACAACTATGTCTGTCATTGCATGAATATTTTCAACAAATTCAAATACTTTCAAAGGTTTCTTCAAGAGCCTGATTCTTACATAATAGTCTCATATAGGAATGACAATGGGTAGGGTACTATAGTACCTGTCCCCATACTTGCATTTTAAAAGAAATACTTGTACCTAGTCACATACCCGCATAGGTAGTAACTTTAATCCCCATATCTATAACCTAAAATGTTAAGAAGTTAAAATTTAGTCTTTGTCGTCAACTCTTCTTCTATTGGTTTCGAGTTCACTTCCAACAAGTTTTATCCATAAACTTCAAGATTCTCAATAAGATGCAGGTGATTGTTGAACTTTCCAAGTCTCAAGAATAGAGAGAGAAGGAGAAAGATGGGAGAATTGAAAGATATATTTCATATTTAGCTTAATTCGTAATAATTTCGCTTAAGTTATATTGGTTATAATAGAAGGTTTTATTTACCTTGATATTGCTTAAGCTAATATTCACCACTTAAGCCGTTATTGTACTGTATTTCATGGCTTAAGCGATTTATGTCCCATTTAAGCTAATTACCTTCAGTAAGTAACTTTTCGTCTATAATTTTGGCTTAAGCGAAAAAATGCGGCTAAAGCAAAAGTGGCAGAATTTGTGCGGATATAAAACGACCATTATACAAGGAGAACATGAGAAAGATCTAAAAGTGCATTGAATAATGTATCAATAGAAAAACTCATTTACATGATGCATTGAGGCTGTAAGAGCGAATGTAAATATTTTAATTTTAAAAATCATTAACTTTATAAACAGGGTATGTGGAGATCCATTTATGCTTGAGATGCCTTCATAGGGTTGACCCTATTATCCATATCATATTGTCTTTGCCTCTCCCTATCTATAAGTAATTCATAAGCAGCTTGAATCTTGATGAACATAACTTGTGCTGTTTCACCTTCCTCAAGGGTTCCTCTACCATCATAGACATTTGGATGATAAAATTTAGCCAAACGTCTGTAAGCAATCTTTATTTGCTCATCATCAGCATCTCCTTCTAATTCAAGTGTTTCATATGGGGATTTTTGTTTAGCCCAGTTTGATGCTTGGCTATAGTTCTCCTCTGATTCACATGAAACTAGGGATTTAAACCAAAAAGGACGATTGTTTCAAAAGTGAATTTTTATTATGTATTAAAACTGCATTTGAATGAGCATTTGAATACATATTTTCTTAAAATAGGTTAGAAGATCCAAAATACACAAAGGTGAAGAGAAAAAAAATACAACGTATAGAATTTTAAAGACAAGACATAATATGTTTTTAAGATACAAAATAAAAGGATGTGAAGGTCTAAAGAGAAATTTTAAATTTTTTTACGAAGGATTAAATGATAAATATTCATAAATTTGTATTATTAAGTTATATATAAAAGATCTGAACCGTTTATAAATTTTAAAATGCATCCAACGATTTAAAAATGATTACTCACTTATGAGTCACTTATCTTACTAACTTATGCTAGTCTCCATCGGGATTTTAACACTTATTTTAATCTTTTAACTCCTTTTCTTTTAGTTTCGTCCATTTGCATGAATGAAACTTATGATGATGTAATAAAAAGACAAAAGACAAGAAAGTTTTAAAAAAATATTATTTTAGTATTTTGTTTTTAAAAATATTAAAAATAAAATTGCATTGAATTTCACTCTAACAAGGACTTTTATATTTTTAATATATTTTTAAAAATAAATTATTAAAATAATACTTTCTTAAAATTTTTTTTTGTCTAAGATTATATTAATCATACCAATTTTAATTAAATGGAGATATTTTTTGATAATTTAATTTCTTTAAATAAAACTATAATTATTTTAAATTTTAAGCATTACTATGGTCATATATTTTTTATTAATATTATTTCATAAAAAATGCATTTCAGTATCTGAACTTTTAATAAAATTTATTTATACCTTAAAATAATATAACAATTTTATTTAATTTTAATATTTCTTAAATAACAATATTTTAATTTTATTTTGAACCTTTTATAATAAGTTTTTTATATTACTTGTTATAAATGTTATTATTATTATTATAGTAAAATTATTTATTATATGTATGCTATTAAATAAATTAAAATATAATTTATTCAATATTATCATAA